TTTATCATAATATCATTTTAAATAAAAACTATTAAATTTTTATTCATTTTGTATAAATAAGTTCTTTTCTTTACAAAAATATATTTTTCTAAAAATTATTTAATAATAAATAATTTTTATTTAAAAATTTATTTTATTAAAAATTAAATAAAATAAATATTCTTATTTTTAAAAATAACCATAAATTTTTAATAAGAAAAACTAAAATATAATATTTATTTTAAGTCATAATAAAAATAATATGCAAGAAGAATTTTGTGATTTATTATTAGATATATGTTCTTAAGAAATATTAATAGAAAATTTAAGATAAAAATTATGCGAAGAAGAGAATTTAATCCCAATATAAATATTTAGTGAACTAGATTATGGAAAAATAAATAATATTAATGGTTAAAATATAGCCTATTTTTTTGGTGAAGATTTCATTTGTTAAACTTAATGTGACCTTTTTATTAAAATACATGATAATGATAAAGATGGCATGTTAAATTTTTCTGAGTATATATAATATATATACGACGTATATATTTTATTTTATTTATATAAAAATAAAAAATATTAAGATTTCTTGAAGTCATATTACCTAAAGAAAATAACTTAATAAGATAAAAAGTTTTGAATAGAAATGATAATTATTTAATGAATTATTAAATTAATCCTATAATAGTTAAAAAATTAAAAACTTTGATTGAAACGTAAAAATAAAACTTATTTTATAAAAAAATATTATGGTTTATATATAAATAATATATTCAAAATATTTTATATGTATTATATTTAAAATTATTTTTATTAAAATAAAAAATATATAAATTAATATAAGTTATATTGAAAATTATCTTGATTTGGAATAAAAAAAATGCTCTTTTTTTATTTAAAATTAGAATTCATTATAAATTCTGTTTTCTTTTATTGATACTGAAAGGAAGTTTTACTTTACTCAATAGGATATAAAGAATTTCTTTTTGAAAAATGGAAAAATTATATATGAAAACGAAATAAAAGCCTTATTTAGAACACTTAATAATAATAGTAGTCAAAATATAGTCAAATTAGAAGATTTTTTGTAAAAATAGATGTTTGTAGTGCTAATTAAAGTATAAAAATCATAATATGGGCATAAAAAATTATTAATAGATACCTAAAAATTAAATTATAATTGAAAAAAAGAAATCTATAAAAATTTGCTTTAATTTAAATAATAAATAAGAGGATAATTAGCGACTAGTTTATAAAATTTTAAGAAAAATAAATATGAATTTTAAGAATAAAATACACCAAAAAAAAATAAAAAAATTTCAATAAAGAACAATATAATAAAAAATAAAAAAAATTTAAATATTTAGAGCTAAAAAAAAGAAAATTTATTATTGGAAGAATATTTAATATAAATATGTGAAAATAATAAAAAATAGAAAAATAAAAGAACAATTAGCAATAAATAATGATTTTTCGATTTTTAAAGCTTTTAAATTAATTGATTAATAAAAGAAAGGGACTATAACTCCTGCATAAATAGAATTTTATTTATAGAGTTAAAATATATATGCTTCTTTTGACTAAATAGTACTTTTTGTAAAAAGATTTGATTAATTAAAATAAAGATATTTAAGGTAAATATATATATTTATATTCATGTTATGAAAATATATATATATATATATATATTTATCTTATATATATATATATGTTTATTTAATAATTTAAATATAAGATTTTGTGATTTTAGTATAATTTTTTATTGTTAAAATGATTATTTTTAAAATAAAATGGATATTGTACAAAATTTAGATATTTATGGAAAATTTAAGGATGAATTTTCTTTTTAAACTTAAAATTTATTTAATTTATTACTTTAGGAATATTTAAATATAGAACTTTAATTAGAAAAAATAATATAAAAAATGATTAAATTTAATTTTTAAAAAGCTTTTAAAGAAATTGCATAAACTAATTAAAATTTTATAACACCTATTGATGTAATATATTTAATAAAAAAATATTAAAAATAATTTTTATATTTAGATTTAACATTTTTTAGAAAATTATAATTTCTTTGCTAGTAAAAATGATATATAATAAATTATATCAAGGTTTGGAGGGGATTAATACATTTCGTACAAAAATTTTATTTAAGAATTAAGTCCTAAATTAATATTTTATTGAAAAAAATATTTGTAATAAATTTCATATTATATATATTATATTTATTAATGTAAAAAAAAATATTTATTATTAATTTATATAATAATTAAAATTATATTTATTTTATATTTAATATATTAAAAATATTAAAAATAAATGAAAATGATTTAAAAATAAAAAATATTTGTTTAAATAAATAATTTATAAAAATTATATATTAGCAATTGTTAATAGATAATAGATATATATAGATATATATATATATATATATATAAATTTTATTTTATTTATATTTTTTTTTTATATATCTTTATATTTTTATATATATTTTTCATTTTTTATTTTTTTAGTTTTCTTTTTATTTTTTCTTTTAATTTTTCTTTTTATTTTTTTATTAATTATTTACTATTTTTTTAGTTATTATTTCTGAAGAAGAATGCTTTTCATCTTTTTCTTATAAATTATTTATTGCTTCTTCTTAATCATTTTTTGGTTTTAATTATTATATTTATTATTCAGTTTTTTATTCTTCATTTAATATTTCAAAATCGCTAGAATTTTCATTTTTTTATTTATTTGTTTCTTCTTGATTATTTAATTCATTTGAATTTTCTAAAAAACAGAAACCCTCTTCCTTTTTTTTTTCGTCATCTTCTTTTTTTTCACTTTTATCTTCCTCTTTTAAATTTTCATTTTTTTTATTTTCTTCTTGTTCAATTTCACTTTCTTATTAATAATCTACATTTTAATTAGTTTCTTCGGTTTAGTTTCCTTCTTATTTTTATTCTTTATCGGTTTCACATAGATTTTATTCTTCGTTTTTTTTATTCTATATTTTTTCAATACTATTATTTAAGTTTTCGTTATTATTTTCTTCTTATTTATTTTGTTTTTTGTGTTATGTTTCATAATATTCGCTTTATTCTTGACTTTAATCAATATTTTCTGTTTATTTTTATTATTAATTATCTTCTTTTTATTATTCATTTATTTCTTACCTTTTTTTCTAGTCTTATTTCTTTTCTTATTCTTTTAAATATTTCTATTTTAATTTTTTTAATTTTTTTTATTTTCCTTATTTTAAATTTTCTTATTTATCCTCTTGATTTTAATCTTGCTTTTTCTCTTGTTTTTCCTATTATTTTTCCTTTTAATTTTCTTCTTTTTTTTCTTCTTTTTTATCATCTTTTTTTTCATTTTGTTTAACTTCTTGTTTTACCTCTTAATTTTCAACTTATTTTTCGTCTTGTTTATCCTCTTGTTTTTCTTCTTATGTTTCCACTTAATTTTCCTATTGTTTTTTCTCTTCTTTATCTTCTTCCTTATCCTTATCCTCTTCCTTATCCTATTAATTATCCTCTTGTTTTTCCTCTTATTTATCCTCTTGCTTTTTCTCTTGTTTTTCCTCTTATATTTTCTATTATATTTCCTCTTATTTTTAATCTTATTTTTCATCTTATTTCTCATCTTATTTTTCCTCTTATTTTTCCCCTTGTTTATTCTCTTGTTTATCCTTTTTTTTAATCTTATTTAAGCTCTTGTTTTTCCTCTTATTTTTACTCTTAATTTTCATCTTATTTTTCCTCTTGATTTTCATCTTGTTTTTCCTCTTGATTTTCTTCGTTTTTTTCCTCTTATTTTTCATCTTGTTTATCCTCTTATTTTTCATTTTATTTTTACTCTTAAATTTCCTATTGTTTTTTCTCTTGTTTATACTATTTTTTATCCTCTTATCTATCATCTTGCTTATCCTCTTGTATATCCTCTTTTTTATCCTCTTATTTATCATCTTGTTTTTCCCCTTGTTTATCCTCTTATTTTTCATCTTATTTATCCTCTTGTTTATCCTTTTTTTTTTTCTCTTGATTTTCATCTTGTTTTTCCTCTTAATTTTCATCTTGTATATCCTCTTTTTTATCCTCTTATTTATCATCTTGTTTTTCCTCTTGTTTATCCTCTTATTTTTCATCTTATTTATCCTCTTGTTTATCCTCTTGATTTTCTCCGTTTTTTTCCTCTTATTTTTCATCTTATTTTACCTCTTGATTTTCATCTTGTTTTTTATTTTATATTTACTCTTAATTTTCATCTTATTTTTCCTCTTGATTTTCATCTTGTTTTTCCTCTTGATTTTCTTCGTTTTTTTCCTCTTATTTTTCATCTTATTTTACCTCTTGTTTTTCCTATTTTTTATCCTCTTATTTATCCTCTTACTTATCTTCTTTTTTTTCCTCTTTTTTTTTATCTTGTTTAACTTCTTGTTTTTCCACTTATTTTTCATCTTATTTTACCTCTTGTTTTTCTTCTTATTTTTCCTCTTGATTTTCATCTTATTTTTCCTCTTGATTTTCATCTTGTTTTTCCTCTTGATTATCCTCTTTTTTTTCCTCTTATTTATCCTCTTGTTTATCCTCTTGTTTGTCCTCTTGTTTTTCCTCTTTTTTTTCATCTTGTTTAACTTCTTGTTTTTCTTCTTAATTTTCTTCTTGTTTTTCCTCTTAGTTTTCCTCTTGTTTATCCTCTTGTTTGTCCTCTTGTTTTTCCTCTTTTTTTTCATCTTGCTTAACTTCTTGTTTTTCCTCTTAATTTTCCTCTTGTTTTTCCTCTTAGTTTTCCCCTTGATTTTTTTCTTATGTTTCAACCTAATTTTCCTATTTTTTTTCTTCTTATTTTTCCTCTTATTTATCTTCTTCCTATGTTTCCACTTAATTTTCTTCATTTTTAACGGACAAAGGTGAATATTCTATGTCTTTTCTAATAAAAACTTCATCAGGATCATCATCCAATTAATTTTTCTTGGGTGTATTTTCTTAAAATGATTAATTTTTTTTCAACTAATCAAAACTTGGTTCTTCTAATACTTTAAAAACATTAATTAAATCCTAAAACATGATATAGTCCTGGAAAATTTTCCTATTTGGTTTAAATTTTAGAATATATTCAATAATGAACTAACAATTATTAAAATTATTATTTTTCCCTAAACACATTTCCAGAATAGTCTTGAAATTTTATAAATCCTTATTAAGTTTACTTCCTATCGGTTAGAATTTCTCGAAAAGTTTTTTTATTAATTCCAAATCTTTTTTTTATATATTCATAAGTTAATTTAATACCTAAATAGCCTAATTTTCCTACTTTCCCATCTTATATTCATCTATTTCTTGGAAATATTTCTAGAATAAAACACTCTTGTATACTTCTTTTAAGGAAATTCTCTATTTAGGATCCGTTATTAGCATCCTGCGGATTATATCTTTGGATACTTCAGATGTTTATAGCCCATAATCGAATATTAAAGACATTTATTTAATGTTTTATGCTAATTCTTCCTCTGTTTTACCTTTCCAAGGCAAATATCCGTGCAAAAGTTGATAATATATTAATCCTAAGGACCATACTAGTGTTTATTCATACTATATTGTTATTATATATATATTATTTTTTTTTTTTTACATTTTGTTATTTAAGAATTGTAAATAAATCAAAATTGGATTTTTGATTTTCAAGAAGAAAATTTTAAAATGAGAAAGTTTTTATTTTTGGGATTATTATTTCTTCGTTTTTTTTTTTATGGAAAAAAATATTCTCTGAATTTATTTCCTAAAATATCTCCTTTTACATCATTTCATATAAAGTCTTTAAAATATAAACCATTGTCATTTTAGACTCACCTTCATTTAAGTTTCTCCTCTTTTAAATATATTCATTTAACATTCCTCTATTAGCATATTCCATAAATACATAAAAATTCTAAGAAGTAATACTTTGGAAATATATTCTTAGTATATTCTCATTTTATAGATTACTATAGGTATCAATATGCTATTATAAGGCATCTATGAAAGATTTTTAGTCTTTTATTAGTTTATTTTTAATTACTTTTATTACTATTTGTTCGTTTGTGTCAGTATTTAGGCCTTTATATAGTTTAGATGTGGGGGTTTTATAGATTATGTCTTTTTCACAGAATGTATAGTTTTGGATTGTTTTCATTTGTTTGTTGTTGTTTTTATTTATTTATTTTTTTTTAAAAAAAAATAGTTTATTAATAATTTTTTACGAAAATACTTTTTGTTTAATAGTTTTTTATATTTTTTAAATATAAAATACTAATTATGTATTTTTTAGAAAATATTTTTTTGATTTTTTATATTTATTTTAATAAATATATTTTTATTTTATTAATATTAATTTTTTAGAAATAATATATTTAATGTTTAAAAGGAAAAAAAAAATTGAATAAAATAAAATAACTATTTATATATATATATATATATATATTTATATATATAAATATTTATATATATATATTATAATTATATAATATAAATAAATTTAAAAAAATGTATATTTTAATTTATTTTTTTATATTTCATGTATATTATAATTTTTGAGTCTTTTGTATTCAAACTTAATAAAAAAACAGAAATTATTGATTATAGTATTTTATTAATCATATAAAATATAGGAGTTATATTATATATAATTGTAATTTTATAAAAATTTTTTAAGAATATATAGTTTAAATTATTAATAATTTTTTTTTTTTTTTAAAAAAAAAAAAATATATATATATAAATATACAAAATTTTTTTTACTTTTTTAAAAATTATATATATAAATATTTAATAAATTTTAAGAAAACATAAATATTTTATTTCATTTATTTAATATTATCTATACAATCGATTTCTTTTTATCAGATTATTTAATGGCTATTTTATTTATTATATCGTCTTTTCTTATTCGCTTATTGGAAGCATACTAAACAAAATATTTAAAAAGTTTTCGGCCTCATGTAATTTATTTAGTTTCCTTTTTATAAATATTTAAATATTTTTATATATATTAATCTATTTATTGATATTTTATTATTATAATTAATATTTATGTTTATATTTAGTATTATATTTATATATTTATAAAATATATACCTATTTTCCCCACATGCCATAATAAATTATATTAAAATGGTTTTTAAATGTTCTTTTTAAGTGATTATTTCATTTTATTCTTTAAGTTTTCTAACTTATTTTTTAAGTTCCTTAATCTATATTTTTAATATTATTTTTAATATTATATAATGTATATATTTACTTCTTTATCAGATTAAATAATAATTTCATCTTTAGATTATAATAACTCAGTTAACTTTTCTTATTCTTTAATATAAATATCTTTTGCGGTTTTCAATTAATTAATTTCTTCTTACATTCTATCTATTTATTATTCGAAATTAATTTATTATTGATTAATATCTTTTACAGTACCCAATTCATTTATAATAGAATTTTCTACAAATATACTTTAATTTTAATTTTTTTAAATGTTTTCATTGAAATCTTCAAATTCATTTATATTGAATGAATTATTGCCTGTTTTTTACATTTTGCTATTTACTCTTTCAATGTATTTTTAAATTTTAGTTTTTTCATTTTATTCTAGTTAACTTGTGTTTATTTCGCCTTATAAATTTCCTGATAATACCCATTCAATTAATTTTTCGAGCTATTATATAAATAATTAGTATATTTTAGTTTCTATTTATATTTATAAAGCTATTTCGTCTATATTTTATTAATCTTTTTTATTTATTATTATTTCTTATAGAATTTCGTAAGTTTTATTTATTTAATTCGTCTTTTTTTCTATATTTATATTTAAATTTTCTATTTAAATATTTAATTAAGAAATTGTTTATTCTAATTAAGTCTTTTATTCAGTAAGTTCTTTATTTGTTTATAATAAACTCTAATTGTTTTAATGATAATTATATTTTTAAGATTAAGCACTATTTTTACTAGATTTCTTTTATTATATTCTCATTATTTGATCATTTGTTTATGTTAATTGTTTTTCTTTTTCATTAATTTAGATTTAATCTTCAGTAGAAATAAATTAGACTTCACTTTTAAGTTCTTCAATATCCTATTATAATTAAATTTTTTTCTATATAAGTTTTTACTCGTAGTCATCTAAATTTTCTTCCTCATTTTTAGAAAAAGGTTCCTATTATTATTGTTATTATTACTATTATTATTATTATTGTTATTATTGTTATATTTATTCTAATAATTTAGTTTTTTCTTATAATTATTAGGATAAATATTCAATATCTTCTGCATCTCGTTTAATTTTTTGTTCTTATTTTTGTATTTTTTCTTAATATTAAATATTCTACTCTTCGTTGCCTTCCGTTTATTATTTTTCTTATAAACTTAGGATTTAATTTTCCTTTTCTTCCACTTTTTATTCCAATTCTTCATTTACTTAAATTAATTCTTATATTTAATTTTTAAATTATGTAATTTATTAATTTAAGGCAATATTTTTATTGTTTAAATCTAAAATTTAAGTCTCGTGTGTTTCCTCTAAGTCTGCTATTTTGTTTTTTAATTCCAATAGATTAATATTTTCTTCATTTTTTTCCAATTATTAGATATTTTCTTATAGCTTTTATATATATTCGGCCTAAGAATTTAAGTCTTATAACATTAATTCTATTTATTAATTTTATATAGTCCTTTCTTCATAAAGTTTTTATATTTCTTCAATTTTTTCTCTTAATATTTCATCTACTTATTCATTATTTTATGTTTCGTTTGATTTTACTATTTATTAATTTAATTATTCGTTTTATTATTGTAAAATTAAATTTTAATCAACTAAATTTTACATTTTTTCATTTATAGTGTTTATTTCGGACTATAATTGGTTTATTTAAGAGTCTTTATTTTCTTAATTTATATTAAATTAATTTTAGGAGTTCTTTTCTTAAACAAGTTTATCATTTTCTTGTTATAAATTAGTATTTTCTTACTCTAATTTTATTATTTATTGTTTATATTAATTATTTTATTATTAGTATTAGTTATTATCTTATTCTTTTTAGTCATTTTCTTATTTTAATTAGTTAATTTCTTATTTTAATAATATAGTTTCTTATTTTAAATCGTTATTTTATTATTGTAATTAAATTAATTCTTATTATTAAACTTTTTCTTGCTATTTTAATTAAGTATTTTCTTATTATTATTAATTATTTTATTATTTTAATTCTTATATTTATTATTCTTATAAATTATTATATTATTATAATTATATATTTTCTTATTAAATTTATATTTTTTCTTATTAATATATGTTATTTTATAATTTTAAATTTTCTATTTCCTATTTTAATTAAGTGTTTTCTAATTATTATTAGTTATTTTATTATTATAATTATAATATTTCTTATTATAATTATTAATCTTACTATTAATCTTATAATTCTTATTATTAATGCTATTATTCTTATTATTATTTTTATTATTATTATTATTATTATTATTATTATTATTATTATTATTATTATTATTATTATTTTAATATTTCTAATTATTACTATTATTTTTAATATTCTTATTATTATTTCAATATTTCTAATTATTACTATTATTTTTATTATTCTTATTATTTTTAATATTATTTTTTTATTATCTCCTTTTCTTATTATAATTTATTGATTTCTTACTTTATTTAATTATTTTCTTATTATTATTAATTATTTTTTTCTGATAATTAATTATTCTCTTCTTTAATTTAATTATTTTCTTATTATTATTAATTATATTTTTCCTATAATTAATTATTTTCTTTTTTTATTTTTATATTTTCTTAACTAATTTATTCATTTTGTTCTTTATATTTACTATTTTCTTATTATATTTACATGTTTTCTTTTTTAATTGATTTTATTAATTGTTTATTTCCATATTTTCATCTTTTAAAGTATTATTTTATTCATTAATTTATATATTTTATTATTATATTATATTATTTTCTTATATTTATTAATTTATTTAATTTTTTAATTAATTAATTTAATTTTATAATAATTTTTTTCTTCCAACTATTCATTTATTATTTATTTATTTTAATCTCTTTCTTTGTTTATATTTTGATTATTTTATTAGTCTTTTTAAATAATTTCATTTTTTAAAATACTGATTTGTTCTAATAATTAATTTTTGATATCTTTTAATTCATTATTTTCAATTATTAATTATTATTTTTCTTATTTATATATATTATTCTATTATATTAAGTTATTTATTTCTTCATTAGAAGATGTCTATGAAGATTATTATTAAATTTATTGCTTTAAATATTCATTTTCTTATATTAAATTATTTTAATTAATAATTTATTCATTTTTATATTATATATTCTCTTTTTCTTATATTAATTTATTAATTTATTCATTTTTATTATTGTTTTCTTATTTTATATATTATATATCTTCTTATAATTTATTATTTTATTATATTAAATGGTCTTTTTATTTATTTTCTTATATTAATT